GAGTTTTGCTGTGTTGCCCAGGCTGGAGTACAGGGATGATTCTGGCTCACAGCAACCTCTGCCTCCCAGGTCTGAGCAATTCTCCTGCCTCAGCCTCCTGAGTAGCTGGGACTGCAGGTGTGTACCACTGTGCCCAGCTAACTGTTTTGTTTTTAGTAGAGAGAGGTTTTCACCATGTTGGCCAGGCTGGTCTCAACCTTCTGACCTCAAGTCATCTACCCACCTCGGCCTCCCAAAGTGTTGAGATTACAACCACGAGCTACTGCGCCTGGCCCGCATTCCAATCTTTGATCCCTTTTCCAGCAAACCTTAGCTATTGCCCGCAGCCAAACACAGACTCATCAGGGCCCAGCAGGGTGCTGCACATCTATCAAGTGCAGTGTCTCCTGAACTGCTGCTGGAGAACCTCACTGAGCCTGAACAGAAGCTTGGCGGGAGCCTGGCTGTCTTTGTTGCATGGGGGCGTCCCATGAGACTCAGGGCCCCAAAGGCCAGCTCCTTCCTGAACCGGTCCTCCTTATACGGTAGCAAGAGCAACTGAGTGGGTGCTCAGCTCCACCTAGACTGAGGCTCACCTTCCCGAAGGCCTGGCTCCACAGAAGCCATGACAAACTTCTAGGGCCCACATCTCTGAAGAGTGAGACCTTTCCTCATTCCACATGCCTCACCTACAAGCGGAATCAGCTGTGTGAGGGGATAGCGTGGTCAAGACTGACTAATGTTTTTGGAGTCCCATACGCTATACTACGTAGCCTGACTTAAAACAGAGGAATGTAGCCTTGCTTTCCACAAGTTCTCACAGAGCCTGAGCTCATGGCTCTGGGGTGAAAAGCTTGTCACTCTGGACTTAGGCAGCCAGAGCTTGGCTCCTGGCTCTGCCAGCTGTAGTCTTGGGTTTAGGGAAAGTTACTTACCCTCCCTGCCTCTCATTTCCTTACCTTATTTGTAAAGGTCAGATTATAATACCCATCTTTTAAGGATGAAAATATGAAAGATGCATAAAGCCTAGTGTGAGAGCATGTACATAAGACATACTTGGGTTTTGAGTCCTGACTTTGTCATTCCTGATGGACTTAAACCTCATTGAGCCTCAGTTGCCAAATCCGTGAAATGGGATTCTTGTGAGGATTACATAAGCTAATGCTCTTAGTCCTGTGACTGGCATGGAAGATGGGCAAAAATATTAATTTATTTTCTGTTGAAGAGTGAGATTGCAATTAAAACTTAATCTTGGAGTTTTGAGGAGACTGCTGGAACATTCTATTCCACAGCCAGCTTGGATCATCCAACATAGCGTAAAAGGGATCAACAATTTCTAGTTTTGAGTTTTGGTTCAACACTTTTATTCTAGGTCACATCTTCATTATCAGGAAAATGGGAATGAACCACCCCATTTTCCTAACAAACAGTGCTGCTAACAGGAAGGCCTGTGTGAGCCTCAGGGGCCACGTGAGTGCAGGGCGCTAGTGACTGTGGAGCCTGCCTGTGAGTCAGACGGGAGGAAATGCAGGCAGGGAGGTGCTGTGGTTATGAACACGGGCTCAGAGTCAGCCCAGCCGGCCTCAATTAAAATCCCATCTGACCACTGAGTAACCCTGGGGAAGTGATTTAACCTGTTAGACCTTCGTTTTCTACATTGCAAACTGTGAAAAATATAGTACCTGTCTACAGGAGCCTGTTGAGAGAAGCAGATGAGGTGAGCTATGAACTGGACAAAGGGCTACGTCTGGCACGTGGTGAGCTCTCAATTAATTTTAGTACACCATTATTACGAGTATTATTACTCATCTGAGTACCTTCTACGGGATTCCTGCTCTGGAAAGAGGTCCAGACTCCATGGAAAAGCCCTGCCCTACACCTAATCCTCTCCACACCCTATCTAACCTGAGAGCAATGCGCACCTTAGCCCCCATCCACCACACCGACACCTCACCCCTGCAGTGTGGGCCTGCCCTTCCCCACAGGCTTGGTGTGAAAGTTAAGTGAGGTAATTTAAAGACGGCACTTTGCACACTATTAAAGACTGTGAAAAAGATGTCATCTGCACAGTAAGTATTTCTCGGCCTTGGCCGTTTCTTTTCATATCCTTCAGTGACATCCACCAAATATTTGTTTATAATTTTATATTGCTTTCTTGCTCAAAAACTTTCTGTGAAATCAACCAAATATGTTTATAATTGTATACTGCTTTTTTGCTCAAAAACTTTAAATGACTTGCTTTAGTCTTTATTAAGCAGTCTCAGGCTGGGCACGATGGCTCGTGCCTGTAATCCCAGCACTTTGGGAGGCTGAGGCAGGTGGATCATGAGGTCAGGAGTTCGAGACCAACCTGGCCAACATGGTGAAACCCTGTCTCTACTAAAATATAAAAATTAGCTGGGCATGGTGGCAGGCACCTGTAATCCTAGCTACTCGAGAGGCTGAGGCAGGAGAATCACTTGAACCCGGGAGGCAGAGGTTGCAGTGAGCCGAGATCACATCATTGCACTCCAGCCTGGGTTACAAAAGCAAAACT